CTTCTGTAACCCAAGCAACACTCTAGTGAAAATGCTACTAGCAGCGCAGGCAAGATGATGTCACCAAAGCCAATGATAATGTAACCACCCCACGGATCAAACAAGCGCGGAATTTTCAGAAGCATTGGAATACCATCCTTTCCACTTGTATCCCCACGAGCTACCTATTAAGCCGTAAGCATTTCTGGCTTACTCTCTATCGCTTGAGAACCATTTACGTGAATTGACTCGACAAATTGTGTTCGATTATTTACCTATATGAGATTTGTCTATAATTCCGGAACTAAAGTGAAAAATGTTCATTTGGCACAATTTCCTCAATATATTATAGCAACGTACATAATTACATTCTTCAATCATCCCCTTACTAAAATTTATATATTTTCGAGCTTTTATGGTAGTAGGAGTTCTAGAAATAATAGCATCATACTATGTTCGATACTTACATCAAGTAAAAGGAAAGTTTGTGTTTGGCTCGTGTTTATAAACACATAAAAAAAATTATACTCATATTTCGAGAAATCCACAAGTACTCTCACTTATTATTCACTCGTTTTTATTTATTTGCAATTTAAATTATTTATAAATAATTTCTAAACCTGCTTTAAGACTTAATATACATAATAACTTGAATAAAACATTAAAGCTATTGTGCTAGAAAAAAATGCCAACATGGGTGATCTACTCTCATATAAGTATGAGATCGATGTGGGATCCGCGTGAAATAAAAAATGAAAAAAAAACTCCCCTCCCCCTTGATGTGTGTGTCATGTCTGACATCTTCCCTGACAATGCAGCTTCGTCCTAATAACTTATAAGTTTTATCTATAATTAATGCAGAAGGTGGTCGCGTGCGGCCCCAACAATTTGTTTAGTCGAATCCAAATAAAATATTGATGAGGCCAGCTGCTAGACATTGATGGCAGATGCATATTCAGGATTCGATTAGTTGTAAATATAAAATCAGCCCACAGATTATAACACAAAATTTAATAAAAATTTGTTAAAGTTTTATAAATTCCTGATTTTCATTTTTTATAATTATTACGTTAAACAAAGTCAACTAAGTTAAGAATTTAAAAATGACAACTATTTTTTTTTTAAAATCAATCACACCCCTTCAAATAAAAATAAGAATTCTACATTTTTCTTTACAATCCACCGGACAATAGACACAGACATCGTTTTGCATTGCCATGTCTATATCAATAGAATTATTCTAGTGGTACATCACAAATGGAACCAAAATACCCGGCTCATTGTCTAAACGTGGAAACTGTTCCAAATCTAATCTAAGGTTGTGCTTCTGGTACATCAAAGTGTACATCAGGGTGTCCATAATGGACACCCGGCACCTCCTCATTGGAGGAAGTGCCGACCCCATCAACCCTCCTTCCAATAAGGAGGCGCCGGTTGTCCATTATGGACACCCCGATGTAAGAGGTGATGTACCTCTAGCATCTCCCATATCAATATTACTCACCCTTGATGAATATAGAAACAATTGTCAAAATATTATTCACAACTACAAATAGATGATTTTCTTTTTAACTCTTCAACCCAATAATTAAAGTTGAAACAAAAAATTAACCATTCACCGCTCTACTCTCAAATACTAAAAGCGACAAAAATCATTAACAAAAACAAAAAACTACGAAAAAGAGAGGAAAAAAAGATAAAGAACAAATATGGGTCACGACTGGACCGAACTATCATCCATTCGTTCTTGCTTGATGGCTGAGTTAGTATTTTAACTATTATAACAAGTTCGATAAAACAATAATTTTTGAAGTAAAAAAGTATGATATTGTTAATTTTGAGTGAGATGACCATGAGGGTAGACATAAGGGTGCCAGACTTCCTTGATCGGTGCTATTTGCTTGTCACGTTATATTAGGACTTAACGTCGAAATAATATTGGAATTGTGTAACAGAGATACTTCACATTTATGACTTTTTGAAATCATCTAATTCCTACCCAATCGTGTCTATTGTCTTTTATAATTGTAAATTTTGTCTCTCTCTAATGAGTTTGACATCACAAGATTGCTTGCTTAACTTAGCTTAGCTTACTGAATAAAAAACTTAAAATAGTCAATATGCAATTATTTAGAAAACTAGAATCCCTTCCCTTTTAATTGAAGATGGAAATGGATACTAACATGAATAAAATTTTAATTTGTCTTCTTTTATCTAATCATATCCAATACAAATTGAGTTGATACAATTATAATTTATTTAATTTTCACTATACTAGACTGCTTAACTGAGAATTTCAAAATAGTCTTGATGCAATTTCTTGAAGAGATAGAACCAATTTTCTTTCTCAAACAAACAAACAAACAAACAAAAAATATATATATGTGGGTCAAGAGATTAGATATTGAATATTTATGTCAACATTTGGTTCTTGTCTATGATTTGGTGTCAAACTCAGACAAGTTGGTAAGATTCAAAATTAAGAGACAAGAAAAAATGGGCACATTAATGCATAAAGAAATTCCACATGCCCATCAATAAATATATGCAAAATTGCATGAGGTTGATTTGATTTTGTAAATTAAATAACAATTTATCATTAAACCAATATTGTATACATATTTCTTATTATATTTTTTTGTTCAAAATTAAATAAGTTGATGACAAATTATTATCGTGTTCGGAAAAGTTTAAATTATAATTTAAATCGATCAAATATACTTTCATCTACAAATTTTGTTGGATTCATATCTTACTATCTATTTCTTATTCACAAATTTCGTAGAATTCACAACTTATAAGCATTATCAAACACGAGACATGTTTTTTATGACGGTTACATATGAAGATTCATCGAAGATTTGAAAAAAAAAAAAAAAAATTTATGGGAGATTGATTGTGCACCTGTCAACTTGCTTTTTAAGATCCAGGGCTAAAATCTTACTCGAATAATAGATCGAGGACCAACGACATAATATTCCCATTATACAATGACGCCCAGCAAAGAAACAAAAACTAGGGGCTCATGGCACGTCACGTCTATACACATACATATATAAACACGCACATGTACAGAGAGGCAGTCCCCACAGGCCAATAGAGATGATAACAAGGGCTAACTAAAAATTTTAAATAAATATTTAAATTTTTAAGTTAAATGTTAATTTATATGTAAAATAATTACCTATAAATAAAATATCACTTATTAGGAAAAAATTTCATACAAAAACTAAAAGAACCATTCTTGATGTACATCATAAGTGACAGTCCCCTCACATAGGGGGTGGGGTCGGCAATTTTAAAAATCGCGGGCCCCCACCCCTATGGGAGGTGGCTGTCAAATTGAATATAAATTAAAAATTTTACTAACGAACATATATATAATTTTATTATTTTAAAAACTTTGAGAACCAGTAGATAATAAATTCACAAATATATGTTGGACAGTTTTAAAAAGAATAATGTTATTTAGCACCAATCTATGTAGCATTACATGATAAGTTCGATTAAAGGTGAAATTATATGATTTATTTAATTGAACATGTAATTTAATATCATTATATTGTCTTCTAAACTAGTGTTAAATATCATTGATACTGAATAACGCTAATCTTTTAACAAAACGCTAATAAAATCACTCAAAATCGATTCCCTCATAAACACTCAAAGTCTGTACTTTTAAAAAACGCTTGTAATCGATAAGCAGAAACTCTCCCTTTAGGGACAAAAATAGTAATATGAAAGTAAAAACAATTAAGCCCCTGGTTTGATAACCCTTTTTTTTTTCTTAAAATTTTAATCTAAATCAAAGATGATAATTAATATTAATAATATATTTTATAGAATTCATAATTTTTCAACTACATATTTCCCCCCTATTTGGTCATGAATAAGCCCCCGTTTAGCCCCCATTAAATTTATAATACATTTTCAATCTTTTTCTTTAATCATACATTGTTTTCATTACACGATAATAAAATAATATTACATATAAATCAAAAACCTTTCATTCTTTTTCAACCACATATTCGCCAAAAAAATATTATTCCAAAAATTATAACAACAAATAATGGGGGCCAAACGGGGGCAAAATTCAGATTTTAATCTTAATCAAAGTCAACAATTGATTTCAACTACATATATCGTAAATCCCACAAATTTTTAATTATACATTTCATCAACTTCCATCAAATTTTTATTTTTTCAAAAAGATTGATTTTAATTTCATGGGAATCATTCATTTCTAATTTTCTATCAAAAAATGGGACTAAAGACGTTCCTTGGGTTGCAAGATTTCATATGCAGTGGTTGAGGAAAACCATATGTTAGTTGCGACGCCGGCAATAGTCAGTGTCAAGCAACCATTTATTTTAATACTATTTTCTACAAGTACAAACAAAGAATTCCTCTTTTTTCTTGTCATTTTTTTTTTCTCATTACTCCTCAAAAACTGTTATCACACGAGAAATTTCAGGTATCCTACCTCCCATTGTTGTTCTTTTGCTTGAAGTCTCGTGTATTTGTTTCTTGGTAGAAGTTTCAATCTTTTTTATTGGAGAAATTTTAGTAAAAGTGCAAGTTGTTGATTGGTATCGAATAAGCTTCAGTTGGATTTAAGTGCATAATTAAGGAGAAAATTAAGTGATTTTGAAGGTTTTCCTGCTTGTGAGAGAGCTAATGTAATAAGTATGATGATTTAGAATTTCTAGGAAAAAGTTCCAAGATTTTTTATTGACTGAAATTTTCGTGAAGGTACAAGTCGTTGAACTTTATTGAACAAGCTTTAAAAGTTGGTTTTAAGTGTATAATTTAAGGAAGATTAAGTGATTTTGAAGGTTTTCTTGCTTATGGGAGAGCAAATGTGTGTGTGATGATTAAGAAAATTCTGCACGATTTCTTGCCTTATACATGTTCAAGAAAATGTCAGTAACTTATTTTATTCTGTTTTTCTTTTCCCAGGTTTCGGTTTTATAGGTTGAGGCACGAGTCAGTTTTGATGGTAAAATAAGTTGTGGAGTAGAATGACCGTGGCAAAGAGATCAGCAAGAATTCATGAGGAGAGGGAGAAGAAGAGTGAGTTGAACTGTAAGTGTAGATTATTCAGTATCTTTGAGTCCCACCATGGCTGTTCCAGTCGAAAACTGCTTTTGAATGGGAGGCCAGTGAACAAACATATTATGAATGGTAAAACTCCCTCAATTCATAGTATGTAAAATAAAGAAATATACTTTTATTTGAGTGATTGAAATGCTGAGTTGTACAGAAATTTCATTTTCTTGGCATATACTAGGAAAGAGTCCAGCTGAGCGTATTTTTTTTCGAGTTTCTTGATCTTTAAATTTTGTTACCGAGACTGACTTCTAAGAACATGCAGATGAACTATGGGGATTCCTCTTTTTATGGATTAAATCATAATCCCTAATTCTGAGAGCACTAACAAGCAAACAGGAATAAGAGAAGCAGAAAACTCCCTCCTAAAGAATCCTTCTTAAATTTTAAGAATACTTGGGCGACTTGATACAAATATAGAATGTTCAATGTACCCCTGAAGGTTGATCAGGACAATTAAGGTCCACGCCGTTCAACATGTTTTTCTTATTAACTCAATAATTATATTGTTATGTGCAGCTTTTCCTTACTAATCTATGATTATTTAGGACCCTGCAGTTCTTAACAGTTGACACCATGTGTTATATCAACAAATTTAGAAAGTCCTTATAGTGCATGAGCATAGTTTGGCCTTGTACCAAAATCTTGATGTTCTATAATTTGACAATTGAAGCATTTTCTTACTAATATATGATTCTTTAGGAAACATTGGTTGATAGCATATGTTGTTAATTCAACAAATTTAGAAAGTCCTTGAAGTATATGAACTTGGTTAGGCCTTGTGCTGAAATCATGATGTTCCATCATTCAAATTTTAGGTGGATTTATGTGGCCTATAACTTCAGGTGTATGTTTTAATTTGTTAGAGCTGTTCCATTTGAATATTTGCGAGTTCTTGACTTCTCTTCTCTTCCAACAGAGTATCCAAGAAAGCCTGATATACTTGCCGGCTTTGATGAAGAAGTTGGGAAAATTAAAGTAAGTAGTCACAGCCCTCTTCAGCTGCAGAGACTAAGTTCATAAATTATTGTGCATAATATCTGGAATAGGGATAAATAGAAGGGGGTCAAATGTTGCATCATTTATGTTGTCCTTCTGTTTCTTCCCATGTTCTGACATGTTTCTTTGTACAGATCAAACAATTCTTAAGTGCATGTTTGGGGAGTGCTTATAATCATACTTTTTATCCACACATTTTGTAGAACCCACAACTATTACCCGCTTTTTATCCACACATTTCATAGAATCCACAACTTAATAATCACTTCCCAAACATGCACTTTTACCCTTTCTAATCTATATTATATGTGTTGTGAAGACTTAGCACAAGAATTTTCCTTGCTTGCATCTTTCATCGTCCGCATATTTCAAATTGCCTAATATGAGCTTTACAAGATATGAAGTCAATCTTCAAAGGTATCCTATAAGAAAGATGTACTAACAAACTAATCCTAGCTATAATATGCTCCAGGATAGAGCAAACTTGGCAAGTCTTACAGTTGATGCAAGTGTGGAAAGTTCAAGAAATTCCATTCGAGGAGATACGTCGGCCAAGAAGCACAAAAAGAAGCAAATCATAGATGAGAAACAGCAACTTGGAGGAACTGATTCTGATGTTTTCGATCATTCAGCTAAAAATCAAAAGATATCCAGCAAGATATCCAAAAGTGCTTGTAAGTCGACGGTGCATCACCCCAAAAATGCAGTAAAGCAGACGTATCAGCACATTTTGGGTTCTGCAGAAACATTTCCAAATAAGCTCAACGTTGCAGCAATTTTGGAAGCAACCTACAATCAGATTCACCATGAAGACAATATCTATTGTGGAGGTGCAGTCGATGAGATGAATGTGCAGTTAGTGCAGATGAGCGCCAAAGCTTTTGTCGATCAGATGTTTCTTGAGAAAAAATTCATCAGTACAGAAGGGCCAAGCTCAGAGTCAAAACCATTCTCTGATGCATTGGAAATTCTGAATTCTAACAAGGATTTATTTGTGAAACGCCTGAAAGATCCGAATTCTGTACTAGCAAAATACATTAAGAACCTACAGAAATTTCAGATGGAGAAAGAAACAACCAGTTCAATCTTAGATGGCAATGTCTCAAAACTTGGCAGTAAAGATGAGGGGAGTTTCAAAAAGTTTGAATGTGCAGCAGAGATTAAAAAGAAAAATGTGAACACTCTTTCGTGGGAAAAGATCAAGTACCAATGTGAATATCCATCAAAAGGAAGTTTCACTCATCGGCCTTCGGATAAGATAGTAGTATTGAAGCCAACACCGAAGAACATAAAATATCCTGAAAATGTTGCCTGTCATCGCTCGTCATTGCAGTCTCGTCATACTTCAAGTAGGAAAGGACCGGATGAGAAACCCAAGTACTTGTTTTTCAGAGAGATGACGCGAAAGTTAAAATATTCGTTTGGAGGAAGTGGAAATACTGCATATTCTTCCACCAATGCCAAGACAAAAGACGAGCTGTGCAAGATGCAGAATCTCAATTCAAGCTACGATACTGATACTTCTTGTACAAATAAAATGGTACTCAAAAAAATAGACCTGTCAAGAGTCCATTTCACGGAGAAACAGGAGTCTGACATTATTATGGAGGCAAAAAGGCATCTTTCTGAGAGATTAAAGAATGTAACAACGACTGCACGCCTAAAACGCGAAAATTTCCCAAAAACCTTGGGGCGAATTCTCTCCTCACCTGAACGCGATTCCTGGCCTCCAAGCCCAAGGGATGGGGAATGTGATTCTGCTTCTGCACAAATGAGATTTGGTCCATACAGCGACTTGCAAATGACCACGGAAAGCAGTTGGAAAATAGAGAGAGTAAGACAAAGAACTCGTGTAAGTGCATGGCTACAGAGTGCAGAAGTTCCATCAGGTGTTAACTTTAGGAGGGCTGGTGACTCGAGGATCCAGAACAATGAACATGAAGTAAATACTGATACAGATGGTCCAAAGTATAATGGTAGGACTCTTCCCATTAATGAACATTTTTCTGTGCTTTTGTCAATCTAGTGTTTATCTGTTTTTCATATTTTTCCTGGTCAATCACGTTCAGTAGAAGTGAATGGCATTCCGCAACCAGGAAATATATATACTCTGGAAGTGCCAAACGAATTAAACAGAACTGATGTTAGTAGTACTACAAAAAGAAGTAACACAACTGAATTACAGAAGGAAGATTGCAGTGCAACACACTTGAGACTGGTGAAACCTTCATCCCGTTTTAGTCCAATTGGGCCTTTTTGTCCTCCGTTGCTTTTTTTATTTTTTATCATTGCACCCCGAGAGTTTTGGCACTTCAAGTCCAGCTAACAAATTTCCGCTTCGTAGGATTCACCGTCAGATAATCAAATCTTTACTTCTGCATTGGATGATTCTCCATCGAGTCCAAGCGTATACCAATTACACGTAGTGAATGGCAGTAAAGATCAAGAAATGCATCCAAGTCCAGTTTCTGTTCTTGATCCATTTTTTACAGACGACACGCCCAGTCCCGCCAGCATTGTAGTACAATCAGGTATTTCTAATATAAAACTAAATATTTGCTTCATTTTTTGTGCAAGATCCGGAATTGGAGTAATATTTGGTTATTTGCAGCTCGAAAGCCATTGCAACCACTTTGTATTGATTTTGAACAATACTCACATGAGGAATCCCCCATAGATCCCCCCGTGAATCCAACTGCCAGCATAGATAAACAGGATACCATTTCCAACTATGTGCGTTCAGTGTTGGAAGCTTCTCGTTTGTGTTGCAACGACCTATCAATGATTAGGGCAATACCCGAACAGTTGCTTAATGCATCAGTGTTTGATGAAGTGGAATTTTTACCTACTGAATCTCGCTGTGACCCAAAACTTATATTTGATCATATGAATGAAGTTTTACTAGAGATATATCAACGCCAAATCAGTTCTTATCCTTGGCTATCGTTCATCAAACCGGAAATCAGGTCTGTGCTATCAGAAGAGCAGGTTTTTGATGAGGTAACCAAGGAGGTCAAATTTCACCTTCTTCCGCAGTTAGGGGCGAAAACATTGGACCTGCTTACTGGAAGCGATATGGCAAAATCCAGATCATGGCTTGACCTCCGACTAGGTACTGAAGATATTGCTATTCACATTTCGGAAGACATTATGGAGGGATCAATAGTTGATATAATACTTGAATCCAATACATGAAGACTTTTATATTTCACGGCTTTCTGTCATTGCCCTGTCTGTACTAGTTGGAATGGGTGGATCTTAGTCACAAGAATTCTGGTAGTAACACGAAGCAGGGATTGCCTATCTGAATGTTTTGCAATTTCCCAAATATTCACAGAAGGTGATCTTCTTCCAAAAGAAATTGATGAAATCTTAGATGGTCAAAACTTCATACTGGTTCAAATACTACCAAGAGGTTTCTGAGTCATTGCAGAACTACAGGTTGAATGGATGGCTGACACTTTTCTACTTGGAGCATTCCGTTAATATCTACGAATTCTAAATGTTTTCAGTGTGTCTTTAGCCTGCAAGTGGAGATGCAGCATAGTGTGCACATATCTAAAAGCTTATTCTTTTCTTGTAAGCTTTGTAAGTAATATTTGAAAACTTTGATCGAGTGTACATTTATTATCTTGGGACATTGAATCCACGTAGCAATAAACCCAACAAAGTGGAGACAATGATTTTACGAAATATGAAGTTTAGTTTATTGTAATAGTCATAATCTTTTGTCAAATTTTCAAGCTAGTAGTGGGCTTATCACCATGGTAGCAACAACTACAACAAATTGAAGTCTAATCTTAGATGTATATTAGAAAATCTAAAGTACATGCATCTTTAGTAGCTCCCATTAGATCCTTAGTAGCTACCTCATGGCACGCATCAAGTTGGAAGTATAGAAGTCACAAATTGGTGGATTGAAAATCTTATTAAAAGGGTCTATCCAAATAATCTAATCATGAATTTTCACAAATCCTCCTAAATACGCTAAAATCTTTACATAATTACTAAAAATGTGAATATGTTAAGAATGGAGTACAACGCAGTCCATTCGAGGAGATGTCCTATAAACAATACTATTAAGCTTTGTAGAAGCTGCAGTGCCTTCGAGTCGAAAACATACTCCTTACCCGAGCTAAACAACGATTTTCTTCCCCATTTTCATTTTTTAACTTCATTTCTCGGGCACCCTTGCAACGACCTTTAAGCATGCAATAACTAGCAGCATGTTGCACAAGCAACTGTGAAGCTTCAATCGTTAGTATCATCACCTCATGGAAAGGTAACAAGCCTATTCACTTCTGAGTCCAATGCATCTACATTCCTCCGGAGGATTTTTCTTATAGAAATCAAGGGAGTGAACAAAAGAACGCTAGAAAGCATACGCCAATCCAAACAAAATATGCATGTGAATAAGTTTTTCTGAATGCAGTACTTGTCGCAGAGAGTAGGTTAATGATATGAAACCAACGCCACAGACCAGTGTGTCTCATTATATGGCTACGTTTCTAAATTCTCTACATTTTACAAGAACAACATATCAGAACATGTTTTTGGCAGAAAAGTAAACTACAATACCCCTCTTACGGACTGCTTGACTGTCTATGGGAGGTGAAGTGGACCGAATTTTTGCGTGTAAAATGGGAAGGGTAAATGAAGTTTTCTTATATATAATCAAGGAAAAGGGGAGGAGGAGGGGGTAGTGGGGTATAAGAACGAGCACATAGAAATATATCTCTCACATGAAATGAATATACAAAGAAGGTTGGCCACTACTGGCACAGACAAAAGAAAAAATGGAAGTGAAATTGTTAAATGAGTGCATGACTGCAATTAAAGGATACAGCTGTGAGGCAAGGTTTTCAATCCCTTTCATTTCTTCATTTAATCTGTATCATAACCAAAGATGAAAAGTAGCATTTTAAAAATGACAGGGAAACATACAAGGATACGGAACTCAAATGGGAAAAAAAGAAAATAAGTTGTAAGCACATTAATTGTAAGACAACTTTCAGATAGTCGCATAATCTGTAGATATTTGCTGATAGCTATGAACCAAATTCGTGGATTTACTAATTTTTCTGACATTAGCTGTATTGTCCAAATACATGCTCTACTTATCTTTATCGTCTCTTTTGTATAGTATTTGTATCTACAAAAAAATCATTTATTGACATTGTCCCCGCATTTGACTTGGCATCTAGAAATGGAGGATGCTTCTTTTTATATGAAGTTCCACTCTTATGCCATATTCAAGAACCTTGCAAGTTTCATTTATCTCCTGTCAGCCAAGAAATGGGTCTTCTTCAAAGGTCAAAGAGAGAAACCAGCTTCCCAAGACAATAGATTCCTCATAAAGACCCAAACACGAAGAAATGACCTTGTCATGATCATAAGTGCATACCTTAATCTAGTGGTTTGATGGACTCAAGACTTTAAAATGTCCTATTCGTTGCATAAACTAAATGGGAGAGAGCTATTTCAAGTCTCTCCCTTTCCAGGGGACCATGGCAAGCAAAAGCGGGTAACAGAATGACTTCGAAAGAACATGCAAACTTCTTAATAGCATCTCCTCGGCGTGCGCAAAAGTGAACATACTTGGGGAATATGATAAGCACATGTGAAATCTTCTACAAACATCCCAAATAAAAGAAATGGAATCCGAACCTGAGACAGGAATTTATGTACCGATTTCCTTTTGTCGCTGCATCGAGCACTAAAACATAAAATGTCAAAACAAGTAGTAGTCAATATGTAGCACACCAAATATTGATTCAAGAACTTCAATCATCGAACCAACATTAAGGATTCATTAATGAAAAATGAAAAAGAAGCTCATTTTGAAGGAGGAAACATCTCATAGCAAAGGAGTTGGCAATGAAAAATGACATAAGGGATAAGACCAGCATGAGGTGAAGGAACAGTAGGATATGTGTGGAACAAAAAGAGATGCAGAAGATTCATTTATCAAAAACCTAAGAAGAGCTTCTCTTTCTAGATCAGGTAGCAATATAAGCCACCTTCCAAAAAATCCCAACCCCCTGCACCCATCCCATCTCTCCAACCCAGCAAAAAAAGCAAAGAAAACTACAAAAAAAAAAAAAAAGGATAGTGGGAGATGTAAAAGAATAATCTTGATAAAAAATATAACATCTGTAAGCAAAAGATTACTATATTTACCACATTCCTGAAGGCCACCAGCTGCATCACTGAAGCAATTCATATGATCAACCGACGTGCTGGTTACCTTAAAAATTAAATTTCCACCTTAAACATCGAAACAGACTCTAAAAGAAAATCAAAAGAAAGTTAACTGTATAAATATATGACTTCACCCTCCGAAATGTTAAACAATTTTTTTAGGCTTCTGCATTTGGTGGCATAAATTGGGCTTCAAAATTGGAACTAGATAGTTTTCCATCCAATCTCAATTTTACTTTTTACAAAATCTAATTCCTAGTGGTTCAGTTTAAATGTTCTACAAAACAGGAGGAAATTCGAAACAGCGTGAACTTTATCAGGTAATAATATTTCATTAATGAATTATATTTGTCAGCTGAACACTATTTTCAATTAAAACATCCAAATTGGTTCATCTCTTATTTAAATGAGGAATCAACGTTTAAAAACTCATTTTTTTACTTGAAAGATTCAACTTTTCATGAAATTGGCTCCAAAAAATGCAATCAAAGAGCAGAAAACTTACAATTTCAGTTCACTAAAATTAGTCATCAATAAAGTTAGCAATAAAAATCAATAAAAACTGATTACGCTAGTCTGTATAGAAACCTGTGAGAGGACTAAACGGAGAGAAGAAAATAGAGAGGTGAAGCTCCCAGCGATTGCTACCGAATCTCGCTCCAACACTTCCAGTGCTTTCACAATCTCCTTCTGCCCATCATACGGGGTCGTTTCCTCCTTTCCGTCAATATCAGCAGGATTTCCTTCTGATTCCGACTGACCCGTTGGTTCCGGATCGGGAACCGATACCTGAAAAAATGATTCGGAGCTGCTCCGTTTAGTACCTCCGGATTCCATCGATTCTGATAATTCCCAAAGTTTATAATTACAAATGGGTTAAATCCATCTCTCCTTTGTGTGTGTGTGTGTATACATACTTGGTGCGTGTTTGGTGAGATTAAAATTAGATTTATAATATATGGTGATAAAGTGTTTGAAAGGTGATGTTAAAAAGTCGTGAAACTGATAAAAGATGTGGTTAATATTGATTATTTGACTTTGACTTTGACTTTTATTAAAATTTGATTTTAGTCCAAAACAAACAGATATTTAGTATCATTTTCATCATTCAATTGAACTTTGTTTTATCGCGTTCAATCAACTTTATATTCAGTGTCATCATAACCATCCAATTTGATTTTATTTCATCGCGATCACCCAATTTCATATAAACATTTCACCATAACAATATAATTTCATATAACATTTCAGTATGGTCACTTAATTTCTTCACAAAAAATTTTAGGGGTAAAATTGTAATTTTGTATTATATATATATAATAAATTTTAAAAAATAAAAATAATTTTTTTAATTTTAAAAACGTTTATTTTAAAATAATTTTTTATTTTATTTTAAATAAGTTTTTATTTTATTTTATTTTATTTTTTTAAGGAACGTTTTTTTAAATGACTTTTTATTTTTATTTTTAAAATAACTATTTTTTAAATAAAATTTTATTTTATTTTAAAAAACATTTTTTAAAATAATTTTTTTTAAAATTTATTTTACATATATAATGCAAAGTTACAATTTTACACCTTTAAAATTAGTGAAAATTGTGGAAAAAAATTAGACAGCTATGGTAAAACGTTACATGAAATTAGGTGATTATGGTGGAACGTAAAAAGAAGCTTGATAACTATGGTGAAATAAAATCAAATTGGATGGTTATGGTGACGCTAAGTATAAAGTTAGGTGACCATAGTGAAACAAAATTAAATTAAGTTGTCATGATAACACCACATATAAAATTGAGTGATCATTGATGGAATTAACCCATAAAATATTTTATTGTCTTGTGTGGTTGAAAATGGTTTTTTTAAAAAAAATTAGTTTTGATTTAACTGATGGGNAAAAAAATTAGTTTTGATTTAACTGATGGGAAAGGGGGCTAAATATTCAATCAATATAAAGAATTAAGCCACTCCGTGTAGCATGCTTGATTTAAATATGCAATTAAATCTCTAACAAGCAATTTGATCGTCTATAGCTCAAACAAGAAATTAGATGCCACCTTTTCGCGGATGCATAATAAGGGATAAATTCATCTACATCGATTAAAAGATAGTTAGTTAATCCTTTAAGATGAAACCGAAGTTTGTGTTGGAATTGTTTTAAAGAAATAAAAAATTTGGTTAGTATAATTTTGAAAAATTGACTCGGTGTGAAGTTTAATCAAATATTCGGATTTAATTCGACGGTCAAATTATAAATGTAAATAGACTAATTTATTCTACTCGTCGAGTAAATCGTACTAGTATATTTAAAATCTCAAAATCAATTACGGATAAATAGAAAATTGCGGTCCAAAGTTGGGTAGAAAAGATGATACATGTGTTGGAATATGACTCTCTGTTGTTTGCCCATCGCTCGGGCGAGAGACCGGCAAGAGAAATTTTGATGAAAATGTGTCACTATTGCTCGAGCGAGAAGTCGGCGACGGGCTAACGACAATAAAGGTTGCTTCTGTTCATAACGTTTGGCTCGCAACACTTCGTCCACAACCCCTCATCTATAATATATTAAATATCTCATGAAGTGTGAATCATTTTCTGGACGATTTTAGTCCTACTACAATTTAATTATTTCAATAGTACCTTATTTTTCGTTTTTTAATATATATTTAATTGAATATTAATTAATTAAACATGTACGCAAATCAATAATTATATCGTATAAGAACAATCAAATAGATTCATGAACATGAAATTTAATTAATTTGAATCAAATTTAAACAAATGAGGTA